CACACCCACACACCCCTGCACGCTCACACCCACCCACACCCACACCCCTGCACGCTTACGCACACCCATACATCCCCCCCGGGCACACCCGCATGCACCCACACCCCCAGGAACCCCTGCACGCTCACACCCACCCACACCCACACACCCCTGCACGCTCACCCACATGCACAGACACACCCCTGGATACCCCTGTACGCTCACACACGCCCACACCCACACTCGGGCATCCCTGCGTGCTTGCACACAACCCCCCCCCCCCGCCCGCCCACTCGCCCCCCCCCCCCCCCCCCACCCGTCCCCCCCCGCCCGCCCCCCCCCCCCCCCCCCCCCCCCCCCCCCAGGCACTCTGGGCACGTCTGCACCCCTGGCCACAGCCGCATGCCCCCCAGGTCCCCCAGGGCTGAGCTAAAGAGGCGCTCTCCCCTCCCCCGCGCTGGTACCTCAGGATGAAGTCGAACTCGGAGCCGGCCAGCATGAGTAGGCCCAGCAGCGTGGAGAGTGCCCCGTCCAGCACGGGTGCCAACGTGTGCTCCAGGGCCAGGGCCGAGCGCAGCGTCCGGCTGCCCATGGCCGTCAGGAACCCCTGGGGGCAGGACACGGCTCAGCTCTGGGCCGGCGTGGGCAGAGAGACGGACTGACCCTGCCCCTCCCCCCGGGGCCAGTCAGACGGACTGACCCTGCCCCTCCCCTCTGCTGCCCCCCCTTTTCCTGGCCGGGGAGGGTCTCCAGCCAGCTGGGCTCTAGAGGTGGCTGGCGCTGGCCCGGGGGCCGGGTTCACAGAGGGCTCGGGGGGAGCTGGGCTCAGCGGGAGATGGGGGGTTTGTGTCCCTTTCACTAGTGGGCCCCGAGTGCGTCTCATGGCTGAGCTTTGGTGAGCGGGGCCTGCCAGTGCCCCAGGGCTTGCCCAGCTAGGCTGGTGGGGGGGCTGGGGTGGCTGGACACCCCCAGGCTGGGGGGCGCAGGGAGACGGTGCCAGAACAGGTGCTGCCCTGGCCCAAATGGGCTTCTCCCGACCTTCGTGGGGCTGCGCTGGGGGTGGACCCGCAGGGGGCACAGCCCTGCTGGCCCAGGCGCCCCCCCCCGACTCACCAGGGCCACGTGGACGGTGAACTCGACGCCGATGCCCACCGAGGCGATGAGGATCACGGCCGGGATGGCGCTCAGCTTGATGCCCATCAACCCCATCATCCCGAAGAGCTCCACCGTCATCATGGCCAGCACGGCCACCTGCCGGGCAAGGGGGAGAGTCGGCCAGAGAGCAGGGACCGCCCCACTGCGTCCGCCCCACGGCATCTGCCCCATGGCCCTGTCCCCCCCATGGCCCTACCCCATGGCATCCACCCCACGGCCCTGGCCCACAGCCCTGCCCCACAGCATCCGCCCCACAGCATCCATCCCACGGCCCTGGCCCACGGCATACACCCCACGGCCCTGCCCCGCCCCATGGCCCTGCCCCACAGCATCCATCCCACTGCCCTGCTCCAATGCATCCGCCCCACGGCCCTGCCCCAATGCATCCGCCCCATGGCCCTGCCCCACGGCATCCATCCCACTGCCCTGCCCCAATGCATCCGCCCCACAGCCCTGCCCCAATGCATCCACCCCATGGCCCTGCCCCACAGTATCTGCCCCACTGTGCCTGCTGCATCACTCTGCACCCTCCTGTCTGCCCCACTGCACTGTCCCATGCCCCTCTGTCCCACTGCTCTGCCCCGTGGCAGCCATCCACTCTGCCCCAGACAAGAGCCCAGATGCCAGGGTGATGGGTGCCCTATTGCCGTGAACGATGCCAATTACAGACGCTTTGCCCAGCCGCCCGGGGAAGGGGCACCATGGGCGTGTGAAGGGACATGCCGATGGTGGGGGGTGGGGAGGACGCCAGGTCAGGTGGGGGGTATTTGGAATGAACACCCCCCCCCAACCACCAATCGGATCTGCTTGCCTGGAGCCCAGGGGTCAGCCTGGGAACAGCGCTCCGGTGAAAGCACCCGCCTAGGCGGAGGGAGGGGAGCTATGCCAGGGACCCCCAGGCTGGGAGAGCGCCGGTGCCAGCGGGTGGAAGCCCGGCCAGGCCAGGGAAAGGCTGCGTCCCAAGCCAGCCCCTCCTAGTCCATTCCCCACCCTGGCCCTGGGAGCTCCCGCTCAGCCCCTGGAGCCGCTCGGGAGGCACTGGACTGTGTTCCAGCCCGGGGGCGATTGGGGGCTCCAGGGGGCCCGTCCGTGAACAAGGCGCCCCAGGCGAGGTCTCGAGCGACAGCTGCAGGGCCAGAGGGCCCAGGCCCCAGCTCTCCCAGGGATCCCGGGGGGCTGGGCGGCGTCTGAACCCCACCCCGTGGTGCCCCCCGCCCCGGGCACACTCACGATGATGCCAGCGGTCCAGGGGTTGAGCAGCAGCACGGCGCACACCAGGAAGGTGCAGGCCAGCACGATGCTGACGGCCAGCAGGAACCAGTGGCGCAGGCCGATGTACTGCTCCCAGAAGAGGAAGGGGTAGCCGCTGGGGTAGCTGGCCACGCCGCGCTCCCGGGCCGCCTCCTCGCACACGGCCCGCACGCTCTCGATGGCTTCCACGAAGTCCGCGGTCTGGCGCAGGCCGCTCAGGTAGAAGGGGAACTGGGCGAACTCCAGGGGCTGGGCTGCGGGGACTGGGGG